TTCTTAGTCATCTCTAAAGGTTTAAATACTTAAATGCAAGTATTTATCACTCCTCAGGGACCTCTGTAGAATTTATTTACATTTGGAGTTACATTATCAGAGTTCATTTGAAAAATATTAGCAAGAAAGCGGTCTAGTTAAAAAGTATTACCACAAATGTAATTCCTTAAGACAAATCTCCCAACTTTTAAGACCTAAAAAAAAAAAAATGCCACCTGCAAGCTGTAAATATGTGCATTAATTTTTCCCAGGGTATTTGCTTTGGCTATGACCTATCCTAATACTCAGCCAAAAGAGGGCTAAAAATTGTCAAGCCAGGTTCTTGCTTGAATGCTGAACTCCACTGGCACTTTGAGAGAAATGCACCTCCAGGTTTAGGGAATATGTTTTGTTTGTTTTGGCTACGACACAGGGCAGAACAGTTTCTATCCCATTCCAGCGCATTCAAGAGAGTTTGAAATATTGCACAATAAAAGTCATTCATTATATCTGTCTCCTTTCCCTTCCAAAAACAAAAATGGCTACCCAGTTCCAAATGGACACAGGGGACAGGAAGAGGGGGGCACGGGGGTCACTGGAACCCACCCAAGACCAACACCAGGTTTTTCAGGTCTGAGTTAAGGATTACTTTTGAAATCTTCGCTCCCAGTGTATGCTTAAAACAAGAAAAGACAAGATTAGTTGCCTGCGTGTCTTTGCTCTGCAGTGAATAAATGTGATTTGGACAGCTTGAATGTTTTCAAATGGTAGGTATTTGAAATGGGCCATTTTACAATCAAGCAACTGGTATAAATTGCACTAAACTTCCTTGAACAGAAAAATTCTTTTATTCATTTTCTCTTTGGTTTCAACCACTTGAAAGCAATTTTATACTTTAAAAAAAAAAGATTCCAGTTTGAAACAAACATTCGTAGGACAGATTTTTGTTAACACTTAGCAGACATCTGACAGCCCCATACAGAGGAACGCTGATATAATTTCCTTCTTTATGGACAGGCACCTTGGATATCACAACACTGGAAATGCAGCTTGGTTTTATATGACAAAATCAGATATTACCACTATCAAATCACTATGTTTAAGGTCAGGAAAGATGACCACAGTGGAAGAACTTTTGTAAACTAAATTCTAGCCGGGGTGAAGGTTATGAAATAAGTAATTAGATGTTAGAAACAGATTTAATAGTGACCTTCAAACTTCACAGCTTAAAAAATTCACAGGCATACACATGAGGAATTAAGAGCTTTACAAAAGGTAATGTGATTTGAGCTTCTCTGTTACATCGAAAACTCAAACTGCCAGTCTGTTTGCACCCCAAGTCATTTCTATTGCACTCAACAAGTCAGCTCCTCACTCACTGGAAATCTCAGGGTGAAGTCCCAGCCAACCTGACAAAACGCAAGCTTGTATTTTTCTCCACTATTCATGCCCATCTTCTCCCCTTTCATATGTGATATAATGCTGAAAGCACCAATAATAGTAGCAGTTCCAAGTGCTTTAATTCCAACTTCCTCAGTTCCCAAACATTTTTTCTTTTTTTTGGGGGGGGGGTCTGGTCGTGGGGCCTGAACTCTGGGCCTGAGCACTGTCCCTCAGCTCTTCAGCTCAAGGCTAGCGCTCTATCACTTGAGCCACAGCGCCACTTCCGGCTTTTTTCTTTTAGTTTATGTGGTGCTGAGGAATAGAACCCAGGGCCTCAGGCATGCAAGGCAAGCGCTCTACCACTGAGCCACCTTCCCAGCCCCCCCCCCCAAACATTTTTCTAATGAATCTTGCAGGTCCTAACCAAGATAAATATGATCTTGGTTGAAGATAACAGAAGAAAAATTGGTGTCTGCTGATTGGCATAATTACTGTTCTCATTTAAAACACTCTGCTACTTGTGGCTTATTTAATTTTTTTAAAGCAGAAATTCATCAAGGAGTGTACAACGGCATGCCAGAACATAAGACAAACTGGAAATCCTTAGGACTTAGAACATGAACAATCTTTGTACCTCAGAGGCTATGCAATAATAGCCAGCAAAAGGCAGAGCTGGAAGCCTAGCTCAGGTGGCAGAGCACCGACCTAGCAAGCAAGCTAGACAAAACCTTGCTCAGGTATTTATTTTAATGCTAATTCCAGTCACTTGATCTGAGATTTCAAACCCAGAGTGACATTCTTCAGGGGACAGAGAAACCCAGGAGGGATTTGACAGAAATCCATAGCATTGAAGTTTCTAGCTTGTACGTACAATTTGCAAGCCGTGCAGTTTCAAATCCAGGCTTTGTCCAGTCATATTTGTAGGCTAAAGTATGATGGAAGTCATGACTGAAGCAGTTAACACTCACAGCCTGGCCTCTGAATGGAACCCCGAGTGTGGAGCCGATTCTGCCTCTTGAAATCTTTCCAGCCCTGCACCCCACTGCCAGAGCAGTGCCACCTGGAGGGCTGACGGGTGAGGTGAGGGCAGCGCTTGTTCACCCCCTCGTCCTCAGTGTCCTTCTGCTCCTTGGAGAAAACAGAGCATCTGGACCGTGATCGTACTTAGAGGTGGAAGCCTGGTGCATAGTAATTGTTGAATACATGCCTGGCAAATGCATTATCAGTAAATCTATATAATCTGTCCACCTGGGTGGCCTGCTGAACACATTCCCGTGTTAAGGAATAATTCCCAAATGCTAAGGCATGTAGTAACCATTTTTATACTAAACTTTTTTACCACTTTGATTTGTAAAGATAAAGTTATCCTTTCTTAGAAAAAAAAAGTTTTTTAGCAAGCTTGATTTTAAGCCTTCGTTCAACTTACTTTTCTTACTGCTATCTAGACTGCCACATTCAGAAAGGGGGAATAGATGGCAACCAATCTCCCAGCCACACAGGATGATGATGTGGAATATTCGAGCCGCAGGGAACCCGTTCAGGGAGGGCTGGACTGAGCGCACAGGCCTCCGGCCTCGTCTCAGACAACTCTGACTCCCCAGCCCGGCCGGCCTCTCCTCTGTACAAGGCAGCGAGCTCCCAGACGGTGGGCTAACTTTTCTTCTACTGGCCTCTGTCCCTCCTGCCCTGCCCCCCAATAACTTTAACCATATTATGATAAAAAGGCACAGGGGGGAAAAAAGATTGCAAGATGCCCCAATGCTGGCACAGGAGTAGACATGATAGAGCAATGGAACAAAGTCGGACAGAGCCGCAGCTAGAAGGGCACGGGACTTCAACACAAGTACCGCGTAATCCACGGGGAATGGATACACGTTCAGCAAATGCTGAAACAAAAACATAAAAGCACAAAAAGCCTACCCTCATCTGACACAACAGACTCCAAGTAGATTTCAGACTTACAGGAGAAGTAAAACTGTAAAAGTTCTGAAAGAGAATGGAGGAGAGGAAAAAACTGTGCGGTCTCGGAAAATTTCTAAAGACACAAAAAGTAAAAAGCACTTTAAAAAAAAAACCCAAAAAACTGCTCCTCTTCTGTTTTTCAAGAAAATAAGATAAACCAGATGGAGGAAAAGAAAAATAAAGGCCTACATTTAAAAAATACTTCTAACTCAGTAATAGTAAGACGTCACTATCAACAGGAAAACAGAACAATGAGTTAAAGAACTAAAGGCAAGCTCATCAAGGCAGCCACGCGGGTTATTTCCCACATCACCGGCTGCGGTAGAGTACAAGCCAGCATCGCTCATCCCCACGCGCTTCCAAACACGGCTACGTGGACAACGCCACATGCTACAAATAACCTCAGCATGCTAGCCATACAAATGCCCAACAGCGCAGACACTGCAGGAAACATATGCCATCCACACATTCCTGAAATCCAAGATAAACGAATACATGTCTATTAAAAAAAAGCACATGTAAATGGAGAGTAGCTTTATTGACAACAGCCAAAAACATAAACAATGCAAATATCCATCAAGTATAGAACGGGCAAACACATGCTGGTATACTTAGAACATGGAATACTACTCAGCAACACACTACTTGTGCCACAGAACATAAATCTCAACAGCAGACACAGAGGGACACTACATGATCTCATGTCTATGACATTCTAGGAGAGGCAGGGCCATAAAGAAAAATCAGATGAGCAGCTGTGAAGGGTGGGGCTCGGCAGTGATCAAGATGCTGGAAATATTCTATTGCTTGACTGTTGTAGGTGCTCTTTTTCAGTCAACTTTACTGGATGGTTTCTTACCTCCATACACCTGGCCCAAATGTCTTTCCATCGAATGTATGTCACGCTCTAAGACCTGTCAACAGCTTTGTCCTGGTTAGGCCAGCTCTAAATGTGTCCCTCAGCTCTATAGAGTTCTGGTCAAAGTACAGTGAGAGAAAACACAGGCCAAGTGGAAAAAAGTAACAGGGAAAAAAAATGATGGAAACAAAGGCAAGGATGCCAAGTGTGAGACAGGGGCTTGCTCGCCAGTCTCATCTACACAAAAGAACTTCAAAACCATCGCTTTGTCTTACTGACGTTTTCACACAAGCCCCATGTGGCACAATTTTCAATAGCAAAATCTGGAGACAGAGACCAGGTATGGTGGAACACGTCTGTAATCCCAGCTACTCGGGAGGCAGAAGGCAGGAAGATCATGGCTAGCCCAGGCAAAAGTGCAAGACCCTCTCTACCCAAAACCAAAGCTAAGTACAAGGAAGCTAGGGGTGTGGCTCCAGTGGAAGAGTGATTCAAACCCCAGTACTTGCCAACAAGGAAAAACAGAAATCAAAACTGGGAGTTTAAGACGGAAGTGGCAGCCAAGCGATGATGAGACAGATATTCAGTGTACTTTTCTGAAAAGTCTGCTTGCAGAAGGGTGCATACGTGGTAACCCCATTGTGTTAGCACACAGAGCTGGGTGAGATGGACGGTGTCTGTGTGGGCTTCTCCTTCTCAATTCTGTTCTGTTCTAATGGAAACCTGTGATTTGGGCTAATAGAGCAAGGCACAGGGAACAGGAGGTGCTAGCAGGCCTGGGCTTCCACTAACACAAGGGAAGGGAAAACTTGAGGTGTCACACTGCCACCTTCTGGAAGAAGCAGGAACCTGCAGGGACAGGGACGGAAAAAGGCAGGAAAAAACCACCTGGAAGCTATGTCTCGGATTTAAACATTCCCGGAAAGAAACAGTAAAAGAAACGAGCATGACCAAACAGTTTATGAAATCTTTTGGTAAGAGTGCGACTATTTAATTTTTCAGACCTGGCCTTTTGAGAAAAACTGCTAGTGTTTGTGGCATAAAAACCAAAAAAATATTTCTCATGAAACACTGTGAAACAGAACTGGTAAACTGTAAGTTTTCAACTGTGGGTGTCAGTAGACAAGGAGGTGCTAGATTTTCAGGAAGGTGGGAAGGCTGATGACAATAGGTTTTTAACCTTCACCTTTAACAAAAGAGCGATGCAAACATGTTTTTTAAACCTCCAACTCAGGTTTCTGAAAAACCTTTGTTCTCGTTATTTTCATTATAAACCAAAAATCGTCCTAAGTCAGTCTTTTTTCATAGTTTGTTGTCAGTGATATGGATTTGACCACCATACCAAACCCTAAATAACTTACATATGAAGATTAAAGAAACGTTTGGACAATCCACCCTTGAGCAGAAAGAGGCTGGGATGGCTCTGGGTGTTAATGTAAAATACATTAGCCCTGACCAGCAGGAGCTCCAGACCTGCCGGTGCCAGGGCGGTAACAAATAGTCTCCATCTACAAGGGGGAAACGGCCGCCCAGCAGGAGCTTTCTTCCCTGTTGTGTTATTTATTGGGAGCTCTATTTGTTAACATGTTTCTGCAATCAAGGACAGAGAGAACTTAAGGATTTACAGGATTTCAGAGACAACTGTTTAATGATAGAACGATTTATGTGCATTCACAGATTCCAAATAGACAGCAATTTAGATTTCCAATATGAACCACAGAAACATTCATAGGAAATGTGCAAAAGATGAAGCAAAGAAACAGGCAAACAACTGCAGCAGATATTATGAGATGGAAAACGAAGCTGCTGAAAATGATGTTGAAAGAGAAAGCAGTGTGCTACCAGTTCTGGTTAGTGAACTAATTTTCTAGAACTCCTTCAAGAGTTTCTGCTTTGCACATTTTTAAATGGAAAATCATGAATTAAGTCCCAAATTACCTGTGACAAAGTTAAATAAAGTGAATCTGGTCTTTTAAAGATGAAAATGCTCTATTTTCATGAAACACCAGTCTCTCCCTCTATGTTCAAAGCACAGAGAATCTTGTTGAAGCATGCTTTCACATTAATTCTGCCTAAATTATTCATTCATTTACAATGGTAGGCTGCCGAAATTCTTACTGAAGGGGTTTTTCTGAAATGTTAAGATTTGATGTTAACTTATTAAAAACTTCATTGAAGGCAGATGAGGCATCAAACTTTCTCTTAAATGCAACCCAAATCGGGTCCCAAGATCTCCATTTTCCTAATCGCTAGAAGACTTTTAATCATTTCAGCCTCTACCACGTCATTGTATGTTTTCAAGTTTACATTACCTTAGTTTTCATAAAGTTCCACTATTTCTATCCATTTTACCTAAAAAAAACGAACCCCAAAATCAAAAGTCACTTCTCAGGTTTGCTTTGACAACAGCCTAAACGCCTGGTGGTGGAGAGCGCTTCAGAGTGAGAATTAAAAGTCGGGCCTATAGTGGGGTTCTAAAAGGACCCCGTGCGTAGGTAACAGCGAAAGCCTTTACCAGTGCGCGGGACGTCCGCTAGACCGCACTTCCGCCTCCAATGACGGACACACTCACTCATTTCTCCTTCGAAGTCCGTCGACTTGCGCGGTTTTTATTGTTACAAAGGGCAGGGCACTGAGATGGGGGGACTGGGCGTGGCAGGGGAGC